AGTGTCCTCTGCCCCCCCCATAGCAGTGCCCTCTGCCCCCTCCCCCCACAATAGGGCCCTCTGCCCCCTTCACATCAACCTCCCACTGTAGTGTACTCTGTCCCCTTCATACCCCTCCCCCAAATGTAGTGTCCTCTGCCCGCCATAGCAGTGTGCTTTGTCCCCTTCACATCACCCCCACAGTAGTGTCATCAGCTCCCCTTCACATCACCCCCGTTAGTAGTGTCCTCTGCCTCCCTTCACATCACCCTCCCCCCACAGTAGTGTCCTCTGCTCCCCTTTACATCACCCCCCTTAGTAGTGTCCTCTGCCTCCCTTCACATCACCCTCCCCCCACAGTAGTGTCATCAGCTCCCCTTCACATCACCCCCCTTAGTAGTGTCCTCTGCCTCCCTTCACATCACCCTCCCCCCACAGTAGTGTCCTCTGCTCCCCATTACATCACCCCCTTTAGTAGTGTCCTCTGTCACCCTTCACATCACCCTCCCCCCACAGTAGTGTCATCAGCTCCCCTTCACATCACCCCCCTTAGTAGTGTCCTCTGCCTCCCTTCACATCACCCTCCCCCCACAGTCGTGTCCTCTGCTCCCCTTTACATCACCCCTTTAGTAGTGTCCTCTGTCACCCTTCACATCACCCTCCCCCCACAGTAGTGTCCTCTTCCCCCTTCACATCAACCCTCCACAATAGTGTCCTCTGCCCCCCTCCCCCTCAATAGTGTCCTCTGCCCCCTTCACATCACCTTCCCACTGTAGTGTCCTCTGCTCTACATAGCAGTGTCCTCTGCCCCCTTCACATCACCCCCCCCCCCGTAGTATCCTCTGCCCCTCCCACCACAGTAATGTCCTGTACCCCCAATGCTGTTTCCTCTGCCCCCTTCACAACTGCCCCCCCCCCCACATTTTAGTGTCCTCTGCCCCCTGGTAGTTTCCTTTATCCCCCCCCAACAAAACAGTGTCCTCTGCCCCCTTCACATCACCCCCCCACCACTGTAGTACCTTTGCCCCCCATGACAATGTCTTCAGCCCCCCTCCCACTGTAGTTTCCTGTACCCCCACCCAAAGCAGTGTCCTCTGCTCCCCTTCACATCACCCCCACAGTAGTGTACTCTGCCCCCCTTCACATCACCTTTCCACTGTAGTGTCCTCTACACTCCTCCCCACACGGTAGTGTTCTGTACCCCCCCCATGCAGTTCGCTCTGCCCCTTCCCCCCCAGTAGTGTCCTGTAACCCCCAAAGTAGTGGCCTCTGCTCCCCTTCACATAACTCCCCCCCACTGTAATGTCTTCTGCCCCCTTCCCCGCAGTAGTGTCCTGTATCCCCAAAACAGTATCCTCTACCTCCTTCACATCACCCCTCTAAAGTAGTGTCCTCTTCCCCCTTCACATCACCCTCCTGTAGTGTCCTCTGCCCCCTCCCCATAGCAGTGTCCTCCACACGACCCCCCCCCCCCCACTGTCGTGTCCTGTACCCCCCAATGCTGTGTCCTCTAGCCCCTTCACAACCCCCCCTCCACTGTAAGTGAAATCCGCGTGTCCATCAGTTTTATGCAAGTATGGTGTGAACAAGGCCTAAAGGAAGTTGAAAAATAATAGACTTACTAACCGGATCATCAGGTATAAATAAAGCAAACAAAAACTAAAAAGAAAACTAATGAAACTACCACATCTAAGGATTGGTAAGCTGCAATATAATACATTTTTTGATGTTAGGTTTATTACAACTTTAAAATAGTAGAGAGTAGAATTTTTTTTTTTTTTTAAAGCAACTTGAAAACCATACAGCGTACATATGCCACTTCAGTGAAATTTTACCTTGCACCATTCTGCAACAAACTATATTTCAGGGAAATCTTTCCACTCACCTTTAGTCACTATACACTATGTACGCTATATGAAAAGTCCTGTATCAGCACTGTCTGATGACACCTTTCTGTAAGTGACAAACAGCATGTTGTGAATTTTCTTCAGGGAATTGCAGTACTGATCCCGATGGGAATGATGGATAGCAGTCCCTTCATCTTAGAGCAATGAGCATGTTCCTATAAGCAGTGACAACTGGGCATCATTCCATATCTGTTCCATGTGTCACTGAGTGGTCACTGTGTGGGTGTGAGGGAAGGGGAGGGGGTGAGGATGACTCCTATTGCAGATATAGATTGTTGGAATGAAAATAGGATCTCTGAAAACTATATAAAGGCAGAGTAGATTGTTAGCTAGACTAAAAGGAAACAGAACAAGCACAGTCACTGCAATCTGTTAACAAAATACTTGGTTCAAGATGAAGCCCGAAAAATACGAAGCCCATAGCTCTCTGACTGATCTAAGCTGCGAGGTGAAAGAAGAAAACACAGCTCGTAGAGAGCGATATGCTGCAGAATGGTTGGATACGTCAATTTTCGCCAGACCAGAGGAGAGGTGAGATACAGCGTGCAATATCTAAGAAAGTCAACCAAATAGCCTTTTATACCTCCAAATTTATTGCTACAAACTATTTTGCAATTAGTTTCATCGTTTTTCTTTTGCGCTTTTGAATGTTGATTTCTAGCATCTACAATACTAGTTTGATTCTGCTGCTTTGACAACACAATAGCTATGCTGGGGATTGTTTAGTTGGGTTAGATCAACCTTTCCCAACCAGGGTTCCTCCAGAGGTTTCCACGGGTTCTTTGATCTGTGGTTGATTGACCAATCATTAGATGGTACCTATATCGTTTTGGGGTCAAAGCCTTCTGGCAGAACCAGTTGAGTCAAATTATCTTTTTAGTTGTCTGTAAAGATGGTATTCTGGGAATTCTTCTCACTGGTCACCAACGTAAGGGGCATTTGTTCCAGAGACCACCAATGATTTGGTTTTAGCAAGGGTTCCTCAAGACCAGAAAATTATTTCAAGGGGGTAAAAAGGTTGAGAAAGGCTGGGTTAGACAATGTGTTGTATCCAAGGCTTAGCAGATATAAAGACAAGACTTAAAAACATAAATATGAAAATTAATAACTGCCCTAATAGATGCATGCTCAGTAATTTAGAAGTGGATAGATAGATAGATAGATAGATAGATAGATAGATAGATAGATAGATAGATAGATAGATGGGGTCTCAAATGGAGTCTCAAATGTATGTCGTAGAAAGTTATGTTTTGGAACAAATGTTGGAATTTTGCTATGATGAGTCATATTAAACCCATTAATAGTCCTGCTAGAAGGCAAACATAATAGCTGTTTTAGTAGATATATGCTCATCGGTAATTTAGAAGTAGATAGATAGATAGATAGATAGATAGATAGATAGATAGATAGATAGTCTCAAACATATGGCACAGCAACCTGTATTTTGGTGCTGGGTTTAAAGTTAGGTTTTGGAACAAATGTTGGCATTTCGCTATGATGAGTCACATCAAACCCATTAATAGTTCTGCCAGAAGGCAAGGTCATGAAACAGAAGAAAGGTCAAAACCGTAAAAAGAACACAAATGAAACCATAAAAATAGGATCTATGCTTCTGGTAACATCGTTTTTTTAAACTAATGATTAGTATGTACAAGGTTGTTGATGAGCAAGATGGGTAATTGATGAGGTATTGATAAAGATAAAAGGAGCATTCTTTGAAGGACTAGTAACTACAAAAGGCAAGGAGGGTTATCAGTACATTTAATGTGTGTAAAGGCTGAGCACTAGATTTCAACTTACTGAAAAGCTAAGTTCTGGTCATTTTTTATGTTATTCACTATACAAAGCTAAAAAGGCTTACCAGAAGCAATGAGTTTGATCCATAGGCATAAAGCTGTATGTAAAAAAAAAGTGAACAAATTAAGACAGAAATGTTTGTAGGTAAACAGAGGATTAGTATTGGTTCCTGTTGTATAAACTGTTGTTGAGTTGTGAATTATCTTTTCCGTCCCTCTCCCTGTGTTTCATTATTGGAAAAAGGAGATACCCTTGAACTGGCTGTCTATAATAAAACAGTCTTCCTACCAGGGGCGGACTGACAACTCATGGGGCCTCCGGGCAATAGGGGATCATGGGGCCCCTGTGTCCTTGCCCAAACTCAAAAAAGCCTATGAAAAAGGTACCAGGGGCATCTCATGGGGCCCCCTACTGACCCTGTGCCCTCGGGCAGTGCTCGAGTTTCCAAATGGTCAGTCCGCCCCTGCTTCCTACCTTAGAGGGTACTATACCATCTGATCCAGAAGCATAGCTAAATTGCCCCAAACATAGAATTTTCACAGCCTGATCCATGTTTTACTGCTGGCTTGGAAAATAATGGTGTTCAAGTGTTAGCTCTCCACACATCCCAAAGCTGTCCTTTTTTGGAAAGGGGTCAAGCTGATTTTCCTGGCTCAATGCTATTGTTTTCCATAAGGTAGGCCAGCACTAAGAATATTATCTTTCTTCTACATAACTATACATGCATTCTTGGCCAATACAAATAGGGTTGCACATGGAAAAATCATTGACTTCAAACATCTCCTGAACAGATCATGTCTGCTCTGCCATATACAATCTGTGATCAATGTGCAGCTTTGCACCCCTAGTAGGACATGTATCCAGTATATTTCTAGTCACGCTCTGTCATCAAGTCACGCCCCTTCTAATACTAAGCAATAGACAAATCTAATAATTTTACACCAGCAGTTCAGGTTAAACTATAATAATTATATGATTCTGATTAAATTGCCAGCCTTATGGACAATTTCACAAGCAATTTTATTAATTAATTTATTTATTTATTTTGCATTTGTGATACTGTGGTCTTTCCTTTCCCTATGTCTTGGGCAGCTGGCCATGCTTCTTCTCACCAGTTACACTCCCTAGCTAGACTGAATCTAAAAGTGGGGAAAGGCTTGATGTTGGCTATATTCTTGCACCACTAGTTCTTATAGCAAGGTTTGTTTTTATATTCTTTACAGATGCAGTGCTCGTGATGCTGATGTCCATAGGAGGGAAAGCTTCAGACAACAGGGTCAGACACATTTCCTGGTCCAGCGTACTCCAGCCCAGATCATGAGAATGGGCCGTCTAGGTCATCACTATATACCCAGTACAAGTTGCCATACCAGCAAATGCTGCCTTTGCCCATCTTCAAGCCAGCCGATCTCACCACTAAGATGGACCGCATGGCAACACCACCTCAGCTGCGCAGCATGATTGACTTTGAGAGGGCCCTCTCAAACCCTGGCAGTGATGGTATATGCCAAGACAAGATCCCAGTCTCACAGATCACCAAAGAGCTTCCTCCAGTGATGCAGCCAGCACGTATGGAGTTTGCCAAGCCTGGGCTGGCCAATTCCTTCTCCAGGTCTGTGTCTCAGGAGGCACAGAGAGGCTAATAAGCAATGATTGAATGAGACGGCAGTATGTACCAGCTCATCTACTGTACATTTTTGTCTTAGAAAGGCCAGGTTAGAATGCAGTGTGTGTCTACATATTGTTTGCACTAGCTTCTCGGTTACTGAGGTGATGCCCAACAGCAACCTCAATACCACACCATTGTTTTCTGCTTCCTTTAGACCCACATTAAAAAACCTTCTAAGCAAAGTAAATTTAATTCCAAAGTCATGAGAGATATTAAACCAGACCTTCTAGGTTGGAGCTGGATAGATTCTGCAGTTGTTGAAGGTTCTTAAAAAGTGTTTTTGTTGCAGTGAATGAAGGATTGGTGGGCATCTTGAAAGGTGGAAAAATCCAAGTTTTCAAGATGTGTATGGTAAGACATAATTGTGATAAATCGGGACTTACACCCCCATTTTCATGGAAGCATGGACTCTGGTAAAAGTAATTGTACGTAAAGGCAAGTGTAGGTTTGAAACAGCCTAGAGGGGGCATTTGAGAAGGATCCACTCCATGATTACCTGGTAGCATGTAGTAGGCTTACTTTAAGCCCATCACTGGCAGAGCTGCTACATATTGCTGTCCTACTGCTCTTGTATTTCAGCAAAGAAGCTATATCTATGAGGACAATACTGTAGGCTAGAAAGTAACAAATGGAAAGTTATGAGGAATTTTGTATGCAGTCCTTGGGTGCTGGAGATAAAAAGATTCAATGACCAACTGCAGCAAGTTTATCATGGAGATGCAAGTTACTATCTACAGATACTTCTGGCCTTGTAGAAGTTAAATGTGTTCCAAATAACATAGACTGTTTGTTGCTTTGGAAAACATATACATTGCACAGTTTTATATGTAGATTTTAAAAATTGTATTTTTTTTAGATGTAATAAAATGAATAAATATGTGTAATTATGTGTAGGTTAATTCTTATAATAAAGATGTAAAATGTGCAAAATGCAATTGATATCTTTTTGTGGTTCTGAGAGCAAAAAGGTGGAATCTGATTAGTGCACGTCATTGATGGTCCTTGCACTGCCATACTTAATACATAAGCTTGTAATTATGTAGTATAGGACTACCCTAGTAAGGGCCCCTTGATTTGGGTTCCCCTAAGCCCTGCACAGCCAGGCAACACACTTGTACTTTCAGAGTTAGTAAAACAGCCCTTAAACTGGATTTTAGTTGTTTTTATTTAGGGGTTAACAACTTGGATGCAGGTCAGGGCTATATGGGATGCCCAAGGAACTGTAGAACTTAGGAAAAACTTCTTATCAACTATGTGCAAAAAGGATGGACTGGCAAAGATGAAGCACTGTCCTGTTTTTGGTGTACCTCCTCAGACCCTGGATGAATCCTCCTCTTCACCCAACTGTGCTAAGAGTATTCGTGAGCAAGGGGGTCCCAGGAGCTTGCTGTTAAGCAGTCCCAGGTGAAGACTAAATTATATAAATAAACAGCGCAACATAGACCTCAATTCAAACCACAATAAATCACACAATATGAGTGTTCATTATTAAATCATACATGTATATATCAAAAAATCTTCAGAAAAAACAGACAATTAAAGTCCCTTGTGAAGATAGCTGAAGATTCCAAAAGATGTGTTTAGCCTTCCACCTTTCACCCGTGTACACCAACATCAAATACACTCACCAGATTTTGGTGAGTGAGAAGCCTTTAAGGATTTTAAGGGAATCCTAAACCCCCTTTTCATCAGCTCACTGATAGCCTCCCCTCCAAGTTTAGATCTTCTTTCAGGTCCTCACCGTATCCTCCTAGTTGGCTCCACCCTACCGCCAAAGAGAAAGCTTATATAGTGTAATATTTGATATACAGAAAAAGTGAGCGCTACTAATAGAAATTCAAGTGAGCAGCTAATATCACTAAAGATGATCACAACCACCTTTGGTATAAATAAAATAAGTAAAGTGCAGCGCTAAAATGACAATTGGAAAAGTTCAATCTCCAAAGTTCGATAGAAAAGCGGATGCATCCCCTCTGAAGATGTGCCTTAGCACGAAAGGCCTCAGGAGGAACTGACAGCCTGTGACGCCTCTCTACCACCCAGACCACGTGGAGGTCTGGGTGTTTGCTTTTAAAGGGTCAGTAACATACTTTTTTATATAAATTTTATTTCTGTGTTCTCTGGCCTACTGCCAGCAATATTACTGACCTGGGTGTTAACCCTTTCTTCATCAATAAATTTAGATATACTACACTATGGGTACTTTTCCATTTTTTACCCCCCACTGAGGGGTCGGCAGACACAGCTGCATATCACCCAGAGGAGGGATACCTGTACCTGGAAGGGACGTGTGCCGTGAGTGATCCATTCCAAACTGAGGAGACCATATTAGCCCAGCAGATCGTTTGAGGACATCTCTCCCTGTGGGATATCGGTACTCGTTTGATTGGATACATAACAAAACGTGCATTCCCTATGTGCGGTCGGTGAGTGTGCATTCTTGCCATTTCCCGGACCCGATTTCAGCTGTGTTCATTTATCATTTGCTTGATCCTATGAACATTTATGTGTGTGTCTAGGTCGCTTTTCTATCAAACTTTGGAGATTGAACTTTTCCAATTGTCATTTTAGCGCTGCACTTTACTTATTTTATATAGTGTAATATTGCCACAATAATATTGTACCAAAAGAACAAATCCAGGCCACTCACATTTTTTTTGGTACAATATTATTGTGGCAATATTACACCATATAAGCTTTCTCTTTGGCGGTATGGTGGAGCCAACTAGGAGGATACGGTGAGGACCTGAAAGAAGATCTAAACTTGGAGGGGAGGCTATCAGTGAGCTGATGAAAAGGGGGTTTAGGATTCCCTTAAAATCCTTATAGGCTTCTCATTCACCAAAATCTGGTGAGTGTATTTGATGTTGGTGTACACGGGTGAAAGGTGGAAGGCTATACACATCTTTTGGAATCTTCAGCTATCTTCACAAGGGACTTTAATTGTCTTTTTTTTTCTGAAGATTTTTTGATATATACACGTATGATTTAATAATGTACACTCATATTGTGTGATTTATTGTGGTTTGAATTGAGGTCTCTGTTGCGCTGTTTATTTATATAATTTACTGTTTGTGTTTTTACACATTTTTTTGCACAGCAGCAATTTAGAAGGGTGATTTATTGTTTTTGATTGGCGCAGGAATATTTTTGGTTTTCCAGGTGAAGACTAGTTGGGTATTGCACCTGACCGCCCTCTCCCCTTATCTGGCCCAGGGGGTTTGGTAGTACTCACACTGTCCTGTCCTGTTAGTGTGGTGGGTTGGTAGCTGCTTTCAGGTCTTTCACTAGGTTGGCTCCTTCCCTGCTTCTCAGGATGTCCTCTCCAGGAGACTTTAGGCATTGGAGATCCTCCTGTCCAGCAAACATCCCCCTCCAAGGCTTCACACTCCTGCTTTCCTCTCAATCCATTTTCCACCCGATTCCCCTCTCCCCCCAGGCTCATATTTGAGGGCTTCACCATGCTCTCAGCGTCCTGCAAGGGGATTGTCCAAGTTTCCTCAAACATGCAGCTGAGCCTCCTCCACCCTTGTTCCAGAAAGTTCACTAAGTTTCTGGAAAGGTGGGAGGGCTCCAGATTCCCCTATAGAAACTCCCAGTCTGTCTTGAGGTGAACTTGTGCCTCACTCCTAAGCTGACCCATACCAGGCTGCTATTCAGCCTCTATCTAAAAAACAATAAACCTAGCTAACCTAGAGGGCGTTACATCAGCTACTGCTTTGAAGATATGTCAGTTGCTGGGACATTTGCTACCAAATGTGAGTGTGCAGTTCTGACTATTTTATCATACTGAAAGCGTTTCTAAAGGCATTTTTTTTTTTAAAATAGTAAACATGTTATACTTACCTGCAGAGATTGCACAGAGCAGCCCAAAACCTCCTCTTCTGGGGTTTCCTACTGACTCTCCTCCTCTATTGTGTCTGCCCCCACAGCTCGCTTGCCTATGGGGGCAGACGTGCAGGCTCACTCCTGAGCCAGGCTCTGTGGGAGAGATTTACTAAACCCAGAGCATTCAGAATCTGGTGCAGCTGTGCATGGTAGCCAGTCAGCTTCTAACTTCAGTTTGTTCAATTAGGCTTTGACAATAAAATCTAGAAACTGATTGGTGTCAATGAAGAGGCATCAGATTTTTTCCATGCAGTATTAGTAAAAAACCTCCATAGACACACACAGCACTGCATGCTCACAGATTTGAAGCATCTGAAGCCAATGGCCCCGCTGCTGTCCAATCCTCCTATGAGAAGAGAAAGACAAGGAAGAAGATCTGCACGGGCACAGTGCTGGGTCATACAGGGCAGGTAAAGTTTGTAGAGGGGCATAACAAGTGGCAAAATTAACCTCGATGTAGGAAATGCATTAAGGTAAAAAATGTTTTAGCTTTAGATGTTTAAATGTAGAAAAAAATAAACGATTACATTTACAGACTCTAGCATCTATAGGAGACGGTTAAACCCTAGCTCTGGACCTTTACCAGGCCCCCATTCTTTGCCACGGTGTACAAGCCTGTCTACCCTACAACAGGCTGTGCATTTGCCCAGATGTCTTGGCTGCAAGGGACGTGGAGTTTATGTCAGGTAAGTGACCATTAACACAATGCTGCTAATGACACCAATGTAGTTAGGCGCCTTCCACTGACCACCGCTTTAATGGGGCATGCTTTAGAAGTGAGAGACATGTTTCCTGTAAGGGGCAGTACATTACATACTCCTTACCCCTGCAATCTATACACTGTGCTGTACTCTACATATCCTTAACCCCTATACTCTATATGCTATCATTTACATGCTACTTACTGCTTACCTCTGCACCCAAACTATGATGTACTGTACATACTCTTGCAACATGTTGCAGATTGACCATTTGGGCGCTCAGGCAATGCTTGAGGGCCCAAGTAAGGGCCCCATGAGAGGCTCAGTCCATCCCCTGGGGCTGCTTCCTTACTGACAGTGAATCTGGCTTTGGTTCATCCTCTAT